GTATTCGGCCTCGTTGTTCGATGCCTTGAATTTGAAACGAAGAGCGTATTCTATCGCCACTTTGTCCGGGGTAGTGAGGACTAATCCTGCTCCGCAGCCCTGTTGGTTGGATGAGCCATCAACATACAGACTCCATGCTGGGGTTGTTGATTCTATCTTCTGAGCTTCCGATGGTAATGAAGCTACTGCTATTGCTTGCCCCTTTTCGGCTGGTTTTGGTTGGTAGGAGATGTCAAACTCACCCAATGCTATCGCCCATTTAATCATTCGCCTAGACGTGTCAGGACTCTGGAGTATCTGTCGAAGAGGGTGATTGGTAAGCACGATGATGGCGTGTGCTTGGAAATAAGGGCGAAGTTTTCGAGCAGACATGACCAATGCTAGAGCTAATTTCTCAATGTTGGAGTATCGTGTCTCTGCATCTTGTAGGGCCTTGCTAGCATAATAGACGGGCCGTTCGACACCACTGTCATTTTGAATAAGAACAGAACTGACTGCTGAAGTCGAAACTGATAGATAGATAATGAGAGTGTCACCAACTTCTGGTTTGGAGAGCAGAGGGGCTTTACTCATGTACTCTTTGAGGTTCCTGAATGCCTTGGCACATTCCTCCGTCCATGTAATGTATTTCTTATTTCCCTTGAGTGCTTTGAAGAAAGGAGCACATCTGTCTGTGGCCTTAGAGATGAATCTGGTTAAGGCTGCCACCTTGCCAGTATGGCTTTGGATGTCTTTTGAAGTTACTGGCTCTTTCATGTCGAGGATTGCTTTGATCTTTTCGGGGTTAGCTTCAATGCCTCGTTGGCTAATCATGAAGCCTAAGAATTTTCCAGAGCCCACGCCGAAGGCACATTTGTTGGGGTTCAACCTCATTCGATACCTCTTTAGAATGGTGAAAGTTTCAGATAGGTTGGTGATGTGTTGTTCAGCATGTTTGCTCTTGACTAACATATCATCAACGTAAACTTCCATGCTCTTCCCAATCTGTTCGGCGAACATTGAATTGACCAGTCTCTGATAAGTTGCTCCTGCATTCTTTAGGCCGAAAGGCATGGCTTTGTAGCAATATAGTCCCTTGTCAGTAGTGAAGGCTGTGTGTTCTTGGTCTGAGGGGTTCATGAGGATTTGGTTGTATCCTGAATAAGCGTCCATGAAGCTCAAGAGCTCACACCCTGCCGTAGAGTCTATAAGTCTATCAATGAGAGGAAAGGGAAACTATCATTCGGGCATCCTTTGTTCAGGTCGGTGTAGTCGACACACATTCTCCACAAGACCTTTTGAAGCAGGAGACTTTCCTTGGTCGGATTTTTCTTAACAAGGACAACATTTGCTACCCATGTTGGGTAATTGACTTCACGGACGAAGCCTATGTCCTTGAGTTTTTCAACTTCTGTTTCCACCGCCTCGTATCGTTCAACATCATAAGATCTTCGCTTCTGTTTTACTGGTTTGGTCTTGGGATCAATACTCAAGTGGTGACAGATGATATCGGGAGAGATGCTCGGCATATCTTTATATGACCAAGCGAAGACCTCGGCGTTCTCTTGCAAAAAAGAGATCAGCGACAACCGAAGGGGTGGTGACAAAGTGGTGCCAATCTTCACCATGCGATTTGGATGATTTTTGGAGATAGAGACATTCTTTAACTCTTCAGCGGGTTGTGCTTGCTGGGTGAATGAGTCATCTCGAGGGTCGTCGGGTTGACTGTTGCCATCATGAAGATTCGAGTTGGCTTCATCTGGACTGGTCTTTACTACCTGGTTATGTATAGAGAGGGTCTCCTTGGGGGCAGGCAGGTGTTGTTGCTTAACTGAAGTGTTGTAACATGATCGAGCACTAAGTTGATCTCCCCTGATGTATCCATTGCCGAAAGGGGTTGGAAACTTCATCAACAACATATGTGTGGATACCATGGCCTTGAGATCATTGATGCCTGTGCGCCCAAAGATGACATTGTATGCCGTCGGGCAATTGACCACTAGGAAGTTAGTGGTAATAGTAACTGTGTAGGGGCCTGTACCAATGGTGAAGGGTAAATGTATACTCCCTAAAGGTTGCACGATATCGCCAGAGAAGTTTATCAGAGGAGAAATCGAGCGATCGAGCAAGTGTTCAGCTACATTAAGTGCCTTGAAAGCTTCAGCAAACATGATATTGACTGAAGCACCTGTGTCTATCAGGATTCGTTTCACATCAAAATTTGCTATGTGAGCCTCCACGATCAGCGGGTCGTTGTGAGGGTAGATGATACCTCTTTCTTCCTCAAGGTAGAAACATATTGGATCCCAGTTAGGCTTTTGATACTTGCCTCCCCTGATGTCTTCCACGTGAAACACTTGATGGCCAGGTCTCAAAGTTCGTTCACTGTTTTTCATGGCCCTATTGGAAGATTCAGACATAGGTGTGCTGCCGCTTATAGAATATATCACATTCACCTAGCGTTGGTTACGGTTATCCCTTGGAGGGTGAAGGAGGAACTGATCAATTTTTCCTTCACGTGCCAAAGCTTCAATATGATCACGGAGGATGACGCACTTCTCGCCATCATGGCCATTATACTCGTGGTAGCAACAAAACATGCCCGTGTTTTTCGTGGACTTGTAATTTGGCTGTCTTGGCTTTGGCTTTGGTATCAAATGAGCTATATTGGGGTAGATGGCCGCGCATGTAGCGTTCACAGGTGTGTATGTCTCATACCTCGGGGTAGGGCCTGTCTTGACACGTGATTGGCCCACTGCATTGACTGCTTGGGGACATGCGTTATTGTGACGATATCCTGAGTTATCACGATAATGCCCCTTATTCTTTTTATTAAAATGAGATTGGTGAGGATGGAAATCTTTCCTTTTGCCCTGGGATTGATATGTCTGCTGACTTGGCGAAGCATTAAATGAGGCAGGGGGGTGTGCTGCTACCGTTTGGAAGGTTGAGGTCTTCTTATTTGGTTGGATCTGGCCTCCACTCCCTACTTCCTGATAAGGGGTGACTGTAGGGGGTTTCCCTTGATATGTCCTTGCCTCGGCGGAGGCATGGTTGTAAGCTTGTGCCATCACCTCAGAGTAAGTCTTCCAAGTGTTGGCATTGATCATGTACTTGAAGAAACAGTCACGTAAGCCTGCCGTGAAGGCCTTGAGGGCGGTCTTGTCATCTGCCTTAGCGCAACGAGAATACTCATGGCTGAAGCGGCCGGCATACTTTCGTAATGACTCGTCTGGCTTCTGGCGAATAGTGTACAAGTCATCTGCGGAATGCAAGCGATCGGTCTGGAAGATGTGTTGAGAGACAAACAGCTTCCTCAACTCTTCAAATGAGTCTACTGTCTCAGGCGGAAGACGGCAATACCAGTTTAAAGCTCCGCCAGAGAGGGTGGAGGGGAAGAGAAGGCACCGTTCTTCGTCGGTGTGTCTCCGATATACCATGGTGGACTCAAAGAGGTTAAGGTGTTCAATCGGGTCTTCCTTTCCAGTATAGAGTTGTAAGCCAAGCTTCTGCTTTGTCTTTGCTTGGAGGGGGTGTTGAGGATCCTTCTTGTGAGGGGGCCAGGCCTGGGTTGGTTCCAGTCAGGTATCTCGGCTTGACGTTCAGCCTTCAACTTGTTTACTTCCTCCAGGAGCTGTAGGACAAGGGGGTCCTGAGTGGAGTCGTGCACCACTGAAGGTTTCTTCCGTAAGTCCCCATCGCCTCTTGTAAGTAGGAAAGTTTGATCAAGATAGCGTGATTTTTCTTTGGACTCATCACACTGACTCCTAGAGTGAGTATGTCGGAACATTTCCGAGGCCCCTGTACCTTCATGTTCTTCTGGGACTTGTTGCCCATTCCCTAGATTAACTGCTGGCCTGGGTCGTGGGAGAGGACCGAGTCTTTCAGAAACTCTTGGGTCATTGATCTTCGAGCTTATGTGGATGGGATTCTCTCGACGTTGCTTTAGGAAGTCTCGACAATCGCGATAGACGGCTTTTGATCCTTCCACTCCTTCTGTGAGGAGGTGTTTTCCTCTACTCATTTTGCTTCGGGTTGAAGCAGCTGGGTTGAGAGAAGTCTCATGTTGATTATCACATTGATGTGTAGCTCGATCCTTATCAGGGATGTCCGTGTTGGATATCGGTGACCCTCCGTGTTGGGGGGCATTCAGATGATTGTTGACCTCAGCAGGGGCGACGAGCTTGTGTGCTTGAGCATGCCTAGCCTCGTGAAGCATCTCAAAAAGTTTTTCATACTGCTCTTGAAGAACCTCGTTCCTCATCACTATGTTGTTCTGAGCTTCTAACTCATCGACTTTAGCTTGAAGAGTAACTCTATTTCCTTCCTGCTTTCGTTGCTTCATACTAGGTCCAATGAGGATGTCATTCTGTGTGCTATGGCTTCTTTCGCTCCCCATGTCGGAGAGAGATGCTTGGCCAAAAGAGAGTGTACGAGCAGTGGAAACCAGCTTGACAAAGCTGAAGAGAGTGGGAATAAGTGTCGTTTCCCACAGACGGCGCCAAATGTTGATGCACAAAATCAGCGAGGACTTTGGTGCAACAGAAAGTGTCAGGTTTGTGACCTTCGCTTGGTTGCTTCGATCACTAGTGAAGATAAGTACGTAAATGAATAGGGACAGGGAAGCAAACACAAGATGTACGTGGTTCACCCAGATGGGCTACGTTCACGGAGTAGAGGAGTTCTCATTAATTGTGAAGGGTTTACACAAATACATAGGTTCAAGCTCTCATTTTGTGAGTTCTAGTGAATAGTTTAGTACAAAATGACATTAGAGATTATTGTGGGAGAATGATCCCTATTTATAGAAGAAAGTTTCTAGTTTTGTTCTAACATTGACACGTGTCGTGTTGTGATTGGCTTCTGATGTTGACACGTGTCGCGCTGTGATTGGTATCTGATGTCGACACGTGTCGCATTGTGATTGGCCTCATAGTTGAAGGGAAGCTCTTCTGGGTTCTTGCCGGTATAACGTTGACCGGTGCTCAGTAGTTTCGGGATTGGTCAAGTATGGTACAAACATGGTGTCTTCTATAAATTCGGATATTCAGAGACTAGCGTTGCCAAAACGATTTTCTTACCAAGAACTAGTTGCAGCCACCAATGGATTTGCAAATGACGGAAGGCTAGGTCACGGAGGTTCAGCCTTTTAGGGCAGGTTTATAAAGGAACTATAAGAGACCTAGGCTGCAAGGTTGCTGTGAAGAAAATCTTCACGGAATCTGAGCACTATGAGGGAATTTTTGTCAATGAAGTGAAGATAAAAAGTCGGTTGATACATAGAAACCTGGTGCAATTCATCGGATGTCTTGAGCAAGGCGAATGCTTACTTGTTTATTCATACATGCCAAACAGCAGCCTGGATACGCATATATTTGGCTCGAAAACAACATTGCAATGGGATTTCAAGTACAAGATAGCTTTAGGCTTGGCTTCCGCTCTTCATTATCTACATGAAGGTGCAGAGCAGTGCGTTCTTCATAGGGATATCAAATCAGCTAATGTCTTGTTAGACAAAGATTTCAGTGCTAAGCTTGGGGATTTTGGGATTGCCAAGCTCGTGGATCCCCAGTTCAAGACTCAGATAACAGGGGTGGTAGGGACTTTTGGATACATTGCCCCTGAATATGCAAACGGAGGGAGAGTCAGTAAAGAATCTGACATGTTTAGTTTTGGAGTTGTCGCCTTGGAACTTGCATGTGGAAGGAGGACTTACTGTGATGGGGGGTTTTACTTGCCAATTGTGAGTTGGGTTTGGCAACTCTACCTTGCTGGAAATCTTCTATGTGTAGCTGATGAAAGATTGGAAGTGGATTTTGACCGAAATGAAATGGAATGCTTGTTAGTTGTTAGATTATGGTGCAGTCAGCCCAACAGCGAGGGAAGGCCAAAAGCCGGACAAGTGATAAAGGTTCTTCAGCTCGAAGCACCATTTCCGGAACTTCCACCTGATATGCATGACATTCCACTCCTGCCTCAGCACCAGTTGGTTCCTCTCAATGATCTTTAGCGTCTAGTTTCTAACCAGTGGGTCATCAAATTTAAAACCGCTAAGCTACATCGATGTACAATATCATCTGAATCTCTTTTGTTTACTTATCGTTTTAGAATTAAGCAAGTGCATTTGATAGCTCGAGATAAAATTGTTGGATGCGAATTATCTGCGATGACCAAGTTACATGGCTAATAGTTTGATGCTTTTCGATGTATAATGTCTGAATTTTTCATCTTAGTTTTAGGGTTCTAGTACTTCTTTCGTGTTTTCGACGCGCTTTTGTGTATATGTATTGGGCTATTAAATTTGTTAGTTGAATAACATAGCTTAGTCCTCTAAATATGTTTCTGAAATCTAAAACAATTTTGAAGTGAATGATATATATTGGCGACGTTCTCTTCTTTTTAAGTTTCTGTAATACAAAGAGCGGAACAGTCCAGATGAACTTTGGGAATAAAAAATATCAAAAAATGAGTCATGAAATTGTGTCGGAGCAAAGACTGTTTGCACTCTATGAATATAACTTGTAGTTTAGTATGAAAAAATAAATTAGTCAAAATATTGTAGTCTTCAGTATGTAACCATTTCGGCGTTCTTGTTTCTTTGTTCGCACTTTAATAAAATAATATTCGTAGTTTGTAATTCGTTCATCCGTCTGTTTATTATGAGTCTCTTATTTTCAATGCAGCGGATGAAAGACTGGAAATGTGTTTTGATCAAAATAAAATGGAATGCTTGTTACCAGTGGGATTGTAGTGCACTAATCCAAACAGCAATGAAAGGCCAAACACGGGACAAGTGATGAAGGTTCTTCAGCTCGAAACACCACTGCCGAAATACTTTCTGTTACACCCACCTCCAATTTAAATTATATTTTTACTAAGTTTGAGTTTACCTTGCTTTTAAAATTGTTTTTGGATCTTAAATGGTGTGCCCAAGGGGCCCACCCCCTGTTTTGTCCCCCGGTTCTCTTTCCCTTTCCTTTTATTTTTCTGAAAAGTCTTTCTCTCTCTTCTCTCTTCTCCCTCACACTCATTTATCTCTCCTTCTCTACTCTCTGTGCTCTCTCCTTCCCGGTGACCAACACCCACACTCACGCACACACACCCATCACCAACCCCGTGCGTGCAACACCTCCATCATCATCATCACTCTGTCGTCTCTCTCTCTCTCTTTCGTCGCTGCGAGACACGGAGGAACCCAGGAACCTCCGGCGAGCTTCTTCATTTTCTCCGGTTAGGTAAGCTTTGGGTTTACCTCTATTTGTTGTAGATTGAAGCTTGGGTGTGATTTATGAAGTGTTATACTCGTGATTTCTAAGGTTTTGGAACGAGATCGGCTCGGTGGAAAGCACACCCAGCACCTGCGCGTCCGACTACTTTCGAGCCAATTTTCGGCCAAACAACGGCGATTTGGCCGGTGTGAAAGGTATCAATCACTTCGTCTCGCCGAGTACTACAACTTTCCTTTTTGTTTCGCCCAATTTCATGGAATATTGAAGAAGTTATATCCATTTGAATCTTACCCAGTTTCCGGCGACCTCAGTGGCTTTCGAAGCGTTTTCCAGCCAAACCACGGCGAGCTAGACGTCGTGCGAGGTACCATTCTCTTCGTCTCTTCGAGATCTATGATTTCCGTTTTTGAATCACTCGATTTCGTTGAGTTTTGACAAAGTTATGGCCGTTTAAAGTTTGTGTAGTTTTCCGGCCGAATTCCGGCTTTCTCTCCCATTGGGTCTGGCCACCCACCAAACCCAAGGCTTTTGGGCCTTTCCTGCCGAGCCCAACCCAAACCCATTTCTGTTTTATTTATTTTATAATTGTTTTAATGTAAAAGGCCTTCGGGCCGTTCCTAATAGGGCCTTCAGCCCCGTTCCTTTTTCAAACCCAAAACCCTTGGCTTAAAGCCTTTGGGCCAATTAGAACTTGGGCATTCAACCCATTAGTCTAACCCAAAACCCAAGCCCAGCTAGGTTCGGCCCAAACCCATGTGACCCAAGACCCGTTGACTTTGACACGGTCTGACCGTTGACCGAGTCGACGGTCAGTGTTGACTTTGACATTGACCGATCAATGTTGACTTTGACCAGTCAACGTTGACTTTGATCGCTGACTTTTTAAATTTTCGTCCGAGACCTCTCCTAGTCTAATTTCGACGTTCTGGACCCGTTTCTGAAGTCCGTTTTCCCAAATTAAGTCGTTTGAGTAGAGTTTGACTTGATGCACCCTTTTATGTGATTAGGTGCTTTGATTAAGACATTTCTATCTTCGCTAGCAGCGCGGCTTCGACAGCTAAGTACTATGAGTGGACCCTTTCAAAAATGCATGTTTTGATAATAGAAATGCACACATGAAAAACATGATTTAATGATTACGTTTTATGAAATGCTTTGAGATAACATGCCTACTGAGGCTAGATTGAATTATTACTATTTTCCTATAACTCGTGTTCTTAGAAAATATCTGATGGATGACAGCGTTGACCGAGTCAGCGTTGCTTTGACTTTGATCGGTCAACGTTGATTTTGACCATTGACTTTTCAAGTTTTCATCCGAGACCTCTCCTAGTCTAATTTCGACGTTCTGGACTTGTTTCTGAAGTCCGTTTTCCCAAATTAAGTCGTTTGAGTAGAGTTTGACTTAATGCACCCTTTTATGTGATTAGGTGCTTTGATTAAGACATTTCTGTCTTCGCTAGCAGCGCGGCTTCGACGGCTAAGTACTGTGAGTGGACCCCTTAAAAAATGCATGTTTTGATAGTAGAAATGCACACATGAAAAACATGATTTAATGATTACGTTTTATGAAATGCTTTGAGATAACATGCCTACTGAGGCTAGATTGAATTATTACTATTTTCCTATAACCTGTGTTCTTATAGAATATCTGATGGATGACGATATGATATTTAGAACATGTTTAGAACACCTCTTTATAGTATAGATGATGGATGACTTTATACTATGAAGTTGCTTTTCAATATATATATGTTTTATGGTTTTTTACTTACCTAGTGGTCCTTTCCGCTACGGGACGTAAGGATAGATTCCGGTCCGTCCCGGGCGAAGGTTTGATGTTGGCATAGGGCCTGGAGTGTGTTTTCTCTGGCATTTAAGACCAGGGATGAGGAGCCGGCAAGGGGCCTGGGGGTAATTTTTCTCTGACTGTCCGCTCAAAGATGGGGAGCCGGCATGGGGCCTGGTGGTTATATTGGACATTCACTAGTGATTATTATATATACAAGTTATGATTTGAGACAGTACACGGCATGCTAGGTTTCAGAAAACCTATGTTTATCATGATATATGTGTTTTCATAAAACTTGGGGGTTAGTACTGTTCGTGGCAGGAATTTCCGCTGGGGATGTTTCCTGGCCGACGAGCACACAGCTCCCCTGGAGGTTGGCGCCGGTTGAGGGCTGCTGTCGGGCTTCTACTTCGTTTCTGGGCGTTGTCGGGCAAGTCTCGTCGGGCAAGACTTTTCGGGCAAGGCTCTTCGGGCAAGGCTGAAAGAGAAGGACAGAGTTAACTTTGAGAGGTGCCTTTGTGGGGCCTTAGGTATAGGCCTTGAGGCTCACAATCAAGGTTAACATTTAGGTGCTCAGGCGTGCCACTGCCATCTTTAGCATGGCAGATGTAAAATGGTTGTCGTTCTTTCATTGTATATATATATATATATATATATATATATATATATATATGTATCCAAGAAACCGTGTTTAGTTATAACAGGTGCCTTTGTGGGGCCTTAAATGTAGGCCTTGAGGCTTCCCATACATAACTAAACCAGTACTCGAACGCATCATATGTATTCTTGTGATTGTAGGAGTCTTCTAACCATTATATTTCTGATTACCCGAATCCAAGGAATAGAACAAACCCAAATGGGTGCCTTTGTGGGGCCTTAGGTGTAGGCCTTGAGGCTTCCCATCAGAGTTCATTCTTATGCTTAGACTCTTAAGATCGCTGAATAGGATGAATCCAAATGGATGCCTTTGTGGGGCCTTAGGTGTAGGCCTTGAGGCTTTCCATTAGAGTCCATCCCATGCCTAAGCGTTCTGTGATAATCATGATATAATAGAAAGAAAACTAGAAGGTAGGTCGATTACTTGCGCCCCAAGTAACTTCGGACTTCTCGTTTATCAAGGATTGTCGTGGATGGGTTAAGTCCACATAAAGTTCTTTTTTATGCCTTGAGGCCAAGGACTTTTAAACTAATCAGATTTACATGCCTGCGGGCTTAGGACTTGGATCTAATTTAAGCATTGAAGATATATTTAAATCAGATCCAAGTGTTGAGAAAGCTTGGTCATCGTGATTTTGCTAGAAACAACTTGCATATAACTAAAAACATACAACATATCGCTAGACTTTAAAGAAAGAAAAGACAAAGACAGAACAAAGCAGGTCGGGCAAGATTAAACCTTATCAATTAAGGCTGATCGTCTTGCAGGTCCCTATCTTTGTGGTTCTGTCAAAGGTCTGAAAGCTTAGGTGGAGAGGGGAAAGGAGAATACAAAAGGGTGAATCGATACTACAACAAGTTTGAACAAGGTAGCAGAGCTATTACAAAGTTTAGGAGAAAAGATTATCCCGAGGGGGATGAAAGCTTGGGCTGACTACAGCTTCGTTTTGAAAGGCAAATCTGGCTTTTTGAGCAGAGTTTGTGCTTTTGTTTGTTTGTTTGAGTGTCCTTATTCCTGTCTTCTCTTCCTCATTTTATAGACTACTCGGTTTGGCTTCTGTAGCAACAGCTTTGCCCGAATGCGGTCTGAGGGTGATGACTCATCAGCTTTATTACATGTAATGCCACCATAAAGTACTTTATGGGCTGTGCAGTCTGATCAGTCTACACCACTTGGTCCTTGGGTAGGTAGGCAAGTGGCCTTTGTGAATTGTATCAAGTCAGAAAAGGCTCTTTCCTGCCTTCCCAGGTCTCGGCTGGGCTTTGATCTTCTATTCCTCCAGGCCTCCTTTTGGGCCGACTCCATCTTTGGGCCAAAAATCAAGTTTTAATCCAAACAAGTACGTTGATAACTGTTTTACTATATATATATCAAATTGGTCCACTCATGTTTGTTTTGCGCCCCCTTCAGGACTTAGAATCGAGGCATACAATCCCGGCGTCAAGGCACTTCCGCATCGGCATCTTCGAGTCCTCTCGGTGTAGGACTCATTCTTTTATTCATTCAATCTTATATTAGTTCTTTTAGTGGTCTAGTTAGTTGTATGCTCTGAACACGTTTCTTAAATGCATATTCTTTATTCCTTTATATTTATAAGTCTTATTTATTTCTTAATCTCAGCATTTGCATTCAATAAATGGCTTTCGTAACCCTCGGGTGTCGGTCAGCACGTGCTTACCCTGGTGTTCGGGGAATATCGAAGTCGGGGCGTGTCACTTTCACTTGACAGGCATGATCATCTCCCGCCTCAGGGCCCTAAAACTCAACGACCTGGTGCTTCTTCGCCGGCATGCTTAGCTTGTAGCTTCGGCACTGTGGGTCGTTAAAGTAGTGCAGCCACCAACCTACATCAATGTAAAATATATCAGAGCCTTTATTCTTTCTTCCTAAATCTGTTACGTTATATCCGGTTGCACTGCTCTAGATTAGCACTAATTAAACATTTTGATCCAAACCAAATCCCGGAAATTCACTAAAAAAACATATATAGAATTTCATAGCTGTCTAGTTAGAACAACAAAAAAGCCTTACCCACCAAGTGAAATCGGCTGTATGAATCATAAAACGCCACTACGCTTGTTTTTTGCGCCAAGTCTTATGAAAGCTGCCCAGTTAAAGACCAAATAATTAAGGGGCATTTTAATATAGATGCCTCAAATTTGAATTTTTTTAATCAAACATCTATAACTTTTAAACTTTTGATCAAACATATCTAAAATGAGGCATCTAATTCTAATTAACTGAATAATTAATCTAGACTAATGTTGCCTTGAAAGCTCAAGTATAAAGTTTCTGTACTAGTTTAAACAAAATTGTATAAAATTCCTCCGATCTAATTTTGCAAAGCAAACTGACCTTGTCAAAGTCTTCCAGCTACCGATGAGGTACTGCCAAAACAGATGCCGTACGTTAAATCCTCGCCGGCCAGACTTTTTCGATATTTTTCAGTTTGTTTAACATCTTAACAGATGGGAATCTTTCTTCTTTCCCTCTGTAAAACAAGAGTGTATTATCCTAATACATCGTCTTTGTATATAATAACTAATTACTTAATGATTTTTAAGTAAAATACTAAAATGTCATTGTATATCTTTGAGATGCTGCACGCTGGTTTCGTACTCATCTGAATTGTATTACATATCACATTCTTCAGATTGACCTCGACCTCGAGCAAGTCTTTCATTCAGAAATCCAAAGATGCAATCGATGGACTTTTTTTTAATTCTTTGATTGCAGATTATTTTTTCTTCCTTCTAATATCTTTGCAAGAGTTTCGTTCTAGTTACTAGCTAAACGGAAGTTACAATGTTTCAAAGCATTCTAGCAAGTTTCATCCTCATTGTCATTAGTTTTTTGACCCGGCAACGTTGACTTTGACCGTTGACTTTTCAAGTTTTTGTCCGAGACCTCTCTTAGTCTAATTTCGACGTTTTGGACCCGTTTCTGAAGTCCGTTTTCCCAAATTAAGTCGTTTGAGTAGAATTTGACTTAATGCACCCTTTTATGTGATTAGGTGCTTTGATTAAGACATTTCTGTCTTCGCTAGCAGCGCGGCTTCGACTGCTAAGTACTGTGAGTGGACCCTTTCAAAAATGCATGTTTTGATAGTAGAAATGCACACATGAAAAACATGATTTAATGATTACGTTTTATGAAATGCTTTGAGATAACATGCCTACTGAGGCTAGATTGAATTATTACTATTTTCCTATAACTCGTGTTCTTATAGAATATCTTTGCAAGAGTTTCGTTCTAGTTACTAGCTAAACAGAAGTTACAATGTTTCAAAGCATTCTAGCAAGTTTCATCCTCATTGTCATTAGTTTTTTGACCCGTCAACGTTGACTTTGACCGTTGACTTTTCAAGTTTTCGTCCGAGACCTCTCCTAGTCTAATTTCGACGTTCTGGACCCGTTTCTGAAGTCCGTTTTCCCAAATTAAGTCGAGCAAGTCTTTCATTCAGAAATCCAAAGATGCAATCGATGGACTTTTTTTAATTCTTTGATTGCAGATTATTTTTTCTTCCTTCTAATATCTTTGCAAGAGTTTCGTTCTAGTTACTAGCTAAACGGAAGTTACAATGTTTCAAAGCATTCTAGCAAGTTTCATCCTCATTGTCATTAGTTTTTTGGCTCCCCTTGCACATCCGCTGTCCTTCAAAATAACGCAATTCGACCAAACTACAAAGAACATATCTTATGAAGGTGATGCCTCGCGGGTATCCAGAGCAATTCAACTCAACGAAAAAAGTTCATGGATGGTTGGGCGGGCTACGTACACTCTCCACCTGTGGGACTCTAGTACAGGATCACTGGCAGATTTCACTACTCATTTCACTTTCATTGTCGACACTGGTAACAAGAGCGACTTTAGTGACGGATTTGCCTTTTTCCTTGGTCCTGTTGGCCATCCAATCCCAGTAAACTCCGCCGGCTCTCTACTCGGATTATTCAACAGCACCGATGAAAGCAATAAACAAATTGTAGCTGTTGAGTTTGACACTTTCGCAAACGAAGCCTTTGATCCGCAAAAGTGGCATGTCGGGATAAACATAAACAGTATCAACTCCGTAGATACTGCCAGTTGGAAAAATGTTAGCAGCAACAGCGGGAAGCTGGGACATGCATTGATAACTTACAATGCCACTTCCAAAAACCTTAGTGTGTTTTGGACGTATGACGAAAACCCTGTTTTTGTGAACAACTCTTCTCTTTCTCACCAGATTGACTTACGAGAGGTTCTCCTCGAAAAGGTTACAATAGGATTTTCAGCTTCTACCGGAGTGTTCCCAGAACGACATCTCATATATTCTTGGGAATTCAGTTCAAGCTTGAATTTTACTAGCAAACAGAACGAAAGAAAAAGGGACAAGAGATTCTTGATAGTGGCGGTTGCAGTTTCTTTTTTCGTTTTGATGTTTTGTGTGGCCATATGCTGGTTGGTGATCAAGAAGAAGCGCGTATATAGGACCGACACACCCTCGGTGAATACGAATCTTGAGGGACTGTCATTTCCGAAACGATTTGCTTACAAAGAATTAGCTGCAGCCACCAACGGCTTTGCTAACGATGTGAAGCTAGGCCAAGGAGGTTCGGGACAAGTTTACAAAGGAATGTTAAAAGACCTTGGATGCGCAGTTGCGGTGAAGAGGATCTTCGCAGAATCAGAGCATGACGAGAAAATATTCGTCAATGAAGTCAAAATACTAAGCCGATTGATTCACAGGAACCTGGTGCAGTTCATTGGATGGTGTCATGAGCAAGGCGAGTGCTTACTTGTTTACGCATACATGCCTAATGGCAGCCTTGACAGGCATCTATTCGGCCATGGAGCAGCACTGCAATGGGATTTTCGGTATAAGATTGCTTTAGGCTTGGCCTCGGCTCTTCATTATCTACACGAAGATGTGGAGCAGTGTGTCCTTCACAGGGATATCAAATCAGCTAATGTGTTGTTGGATGACGAATTCAGCACAAAGCTTGGTGATTTTGGGATTGCGAAGCTCATGGATCCGCGGTTCAGGACTCAAACAACAGGGGTGGTGGGGACTTTCGGGTACATGGCCCCCGAATATGAGAAGGGAGGGAGGGCAAGTAAAGAATCCGACATGTTTAGCTTTGGAGTTGTGGCCTTGGAACTTGCATGCGGTAGGAGGACTTTCCATGACGGAGAACTTGACGTGCCGCTTGTGAGTTGGGTTTGGCAACTCTACCTTGCCGGAAATCTGCTCTACGCAGCTGATGAAAGGTTAGATTCGAACTTCGACATAAATGAAATGGAATGCTTGTTAATTGTGGGATTATGGTGCACTAATCCCGACAATAAGGAAAGGCCGAAAGCTGGACAAGTGATGAATGTTCTTCAGCTTGAAGCGCCATTGCCGGATCTTCCGCACGACATGCATGATCTTCCGCTGCCTCAGCTTCAGTAAAATGCCGATTCCTCTCACGTGATCCTTTCATATATGATCTGATTTCACCATGTCATCGCTTCCGAGCTACTATATTATATTTTTAATCTCTCTATTTGTATGCATGTATGAGTATTGTGTTTTAAGATTTCTTTCACGAAATTAGATTTTTTTTGTATAACTTTCCAACTGATATTCATGTTCCATCGATCCATTCATCACTTCCCAGCTCCCCCGACACGAATAGTTTAGGTCATTGAATCAAATTATCCGCTATCACCAAGCACGTGATTGTATGATTTCGGATCTTTAGGGAAGAAAAATATCATTAGATAAAGAGCCAATTTAATATTTTTTTTGTTGGAGTATGTGGCCAAGTGGCCACCTTTTAATTAAACAAATCAAAAAAGAAAAAAAGACAAAAATAATTATGTCTCTTCCTTGTTTTGGGGAAAAGAAAAGGGAATTGGTCTAAAGTTGTCTTGGTCCATGGGAAGTCACGGATGAGTTCTTTGAAAGAGAAATAATTGCTATTTTTGATGAAGTGTAGTAATGAAGCCATAAGAGAGGAAAAAACGTAGCAGAAAATGAGAGCAAAAACAGAGGTGCTGCAGCCCCATTTTGAAGAGAAGAAAGAAAGGTTAGCTTGAGTTGGTTCCAACGGGTTTGGTGCTATCCTAGCACAACAATTGGTATCAGAGCACTGGTTGCTCTTGGGTACTGTCTAGTTGCCAAAGATGTCAGACGGGCAAGATGAAAATCCTTTTGGAAGCAGCTCCGGGTTTGCAAGAACTACGGTGCAAAATGCAAAGTTCGAAGTGGAAAAGTTTGATGGCACAAACAACTTCGGGATGTGGCAATTTGTGGGTTTGTTCCAAAGGCATTTATTGCCTTCGTCTTCTAGGGCTGTACCGCGTAATGAAGCTCCAAATGATCAACCTCTGATGCCTCCTCCTTCTAGGGTTCTGTCCAGTACTGAGGCTCCAAATGATCCCCCTCCGGTGCCTTCTCTTTCTGGGGCTCTACCGACTGCTGAGACTTCTCCTAAGCAACCTTTGTGAAGGCTCCCTCTTGTGTGTTTATTTTGACTCATGTATATGTATATATTTGTAGCTTATCGGGGATATCAATAAATAAGCTTTCCTTCATTTCAACGTATTGTGTTAAATACACACCAAAGCCTTCTTCGCTAAGTTCTTTGAATTTTCTTTTTGTTGAAGCTTGTATGTTGAAGCTTTCTGAGTGGAGCATGTAGGTTGGGGTAGTGTTCCCTTAATTTCCCGAGTGAAGAAAACTTCTCGGTTGGAGACTTGGAAAATCCAAGTCACTGAGTGGGATCGGCTATATGAATCTTAGAACGCCATTGTGCTCGATCCTGTGTCATGTCCTTCGTTAGATCCAAGTACTCTAAGTCTTTTCTTAGAGTCTCTTCCAAAGTTTTCCTAGGTCTTCCTCTACCCCTTCGGCCCTGAACCTCTGTCCCATAGTCGCATCTTCTAATCGGAGCGTCAGTAGGCCTTCTTTGCACATGTCCAAACCACCGTAACCGATTTTCTCTCATCTTTCCTTCAATTTCAGCTACTCCTACTTTACCCCGGATATCCTCATTCCTAATCTTATCCTTTCTCGTGTGCCCACACATCCAACGAAGCATCCTCATCTCCGCTACACCCATTTTGTGTACGTGTTGATGTTTCACCACCCAACATTCTGTGCCATACAGCATCGCCGGCCTTATTGCCGTCCTATAAAATTTTCCCTTGAGCTTCAGTGGCATACGGCGGTCACACAACACGCCGGATGCACTCTTCCACTTCATCCATCCAGCTTGTATTCTATGGTTGAGATCTCCATCTAATTCTCCGTTCTTTTGCAAGATAGATCCTAGGTAACGAAAACGGTCGCTCTTTGGTATTTCTTGATCTCCGATCCTCACCCCTAACTCGTTTTGGCCTCCATTTGCACTGAACTTGCACTCCATATATTTCTGTCTTTGATCGGCTTAGGCGAAGACCTTTAGATTCCAACACTTCTCTCCAAAGGTTAAGCTTTGCATTTACCCCTTCCTGAGTTTCATCTATCAACACTATATCGTCTGCGAAAAGCATAAACCAAGGAATATCATCTTGAATATGTCCTGTTAACTCATCCATTACCAACGCAAAAAGGTAAGGACTTAAGGATGAGCCTTGATGTAATCCTACAGTTATGGGAAAGCTTTCGGTTTGTCCTTCATGAGTTCTTACGGCAGTCTTTGCTCCTTCATACATATCCTTTATAGCTTGGATATATGTTACTCGTACTCCTTTCTTCTCTAAAATCCTCCAAAGAATGTCTCTTGGGACCCTATCATACGCTTTTTCCAAATCTATAAAGACCATGTGTAAATCCTTTTTCCCATCTCTATATATTTCCATCAATCTTCGTAAGAGATAGATTGCCTCCATGGTTGAGCGCCCTGGCATGAACCCGAATTGGTTGTCCGAAACCCGTGTCTCTTGCCTCAATCTATGCTCAATGACTCTCTCCCAGAGCTTCATTGTATGACTCATTAGCTTAATACCCCTATAGTTCATGCAATTTTGTACGTCGCCCTTATTCTTGTAGATAGGCACCAAAATGCTCGTTCGCCACTCATTTGGCATCTTCTTCGTTTTCAAAATCCTATTGAAAAGGTCAGTGAGCCATGTTATACCTGTCTCTCCCAAAAGTTTCCACACTTCGATTGGTATATCGTCTGGGCCTATTGCTTTTTTATGCTTCATCTTCTTCAAAGCTACAACCACTTCTTCCTTCCGGATTCGCCGATAAAAAGAGTAGTTTCTACACTCTTCTGAGTTACTCAACTCCCCTAAAGAAGCACTCATTTCATGTCCTTCATTGAAAAGATTATGAAAATAACCTCTCCATCTGTCTTTAACCGCATTCTCTGTAGCAAGAACCTTTCCATCCTCATCCTTGATGCACCTCACTTGGTTTAGGTCCCTTGTCTTCTTTTCCCTTGCTCTAGATAGTTTATAGATATCCAACTCTCCTTCTTTGGTACCTAGTCGTTTATACATATCGTCGTAAGCCGCTAACTTAGCTTCTCTGACAGCTTTCTTCGCCTCTTGCTTCGCTTTTCTATACCTTTCACCATTTTCATCGGTCCTCTCCTTGTATAAGGCTTTACAACATTCCTTCTTAGCCTTCACCTTTGTTTGTACCTCCTCATTCCACCACCAAGATTCCTTTTGGTGTGGGGCAAAGCCCTTGGACTCTCCTAATACCTCTTTTGCTACTTTTCGGATACAACTAGCCATGGAATCCCACATTTGGCTAGCTTCCCCCTCTCTATCCCACACACATTGGGTGATTACCTTCTCTTTGAAAATGGCTTGTTTTTTTCTTCTTTTAGATTCCACCATCTAGTCCTTGGGCACTTCCAAGTCTTGTTCTTTTGTCTTACTCTTTTGATATGTACATCCATCACCAACAAGCGATGTTGATTAACCACGCTCTCTCCTGGTATAACTTTGCAATCCTTACAAGTTATACGATCCCCTTTCCTCATTAGAAGAAAATCTATTTGTGTTTTTGACGACCCACTCTTGCAGGTGATCACATGTTCTTCTCTCTTCTTAAAGAAGGTGTTGGCTAAGAAGAGATCATATGCCATTGCAAAATCCAAGATAGCTTCCCCATCCTCGTTTCTCTCCCCAAAACCATGGCCACCATGAAAACCTCCATAGTTGCCTTTCTCCCTGCCCACGTGTCCATTTAAATCTCCTCCTATAAATAACTTCTCCGTCTGAGCAATTCCTTGCACCAAGTCTCCAAGATCTTCCCAAAATTTCTCCTTCGAACTCGTATCCAACCCTACTTGAGGTGCGTACGCACTAATCACATTGATAACTTCTTGTCCTATTACAATCTTGATTGCCATGATTCTATCTTCTACCCTCTTGACATCTACAACATCTTGTACCAAGGTCTTGTCCACGATGATGCCAACACCGTTTCTCGTTCTATTTGTGCCCGAATACCAAAGTTTAAACCCTGAGTTTTCTAGATCCTTTGCCTTCCTACCAACCCACTTAGTTTCTTGTAGGCACATAATATTTATCCTTCTTCTCACCATAACTTCCACTACTTCCATAGATTTTCCCGTTAAGGTTCCTATATTCCACGTTCCTAAACACATTTTGCTCTCTTGAACTCTACCCTTCTGTCCTAGCTTCTTCACCTTCCCCCGTCTAATAGGATCAAAGTACTTCTTTTGTGTGTCCCGGGTAAAGTTGATAGGAGCATATGCTCCCAAACAACTTTGAGTGGAGTCGTTCGAAAAGAAGTTTCTATGGCCCCCTTACTCATTTAACACTGCATCCGGGTGCCGATGGAGATACAGCGACCCTTGCTCACTTATCACTGTGCTCGGGCCACACAGCGCGCCACTTACGGGTGACGCCCTAGCTTTAGCGCGATTTTGTTCTGGATTCATTTTCATAAGGATTCGACTGCATGCTTATCCTTACCAAATGCACATACCCTGATTAAGCTATACATAGCCAAAGACATATATGATGGAAAGATTTCCACAATCTGTAATGGTTTCTACGGTCTACAAATCAAGACCGGAATCGCCTTCAGGTGCTCCGCTCTTATCTACCGCAATCACTTTGCTTTTTAACTTTGTGCCCATAGAAATCGGTATAATTAACAGAATAAGAATAGTTGAAAACAAACTAACAACCACAAATAAACTGCTGAGGATCTAAAATCAATCCAATTGTTTGCTATTTACCTTGTCAATATTTTCATGCTGACTGGATATATAGAAAAAAAGGGCGGACTTCAAGCCAACTCTATAAATATATAGCTTGTAGTTTAGTATGAAAAAACAAGTTAGTCGCAATATTGTAGTCTTCAGTTTGTAGCGCATTCTTGTTTCTTTGTTTTCACGTTAATAAAATAATATTCGTAGTTTGTAATTCGTTTGTTCGCCTGTTTATTATGCGTTTCTGTTTTTCGATGCACCTCACGAGAGATTAGAAATGAATTTTGATCAAAATGAAAGGGAATGCTTGTTAATAGTGGGATTGTGCACTCATCCTAGCAGCAACGAAAGGCCAAACGCGAGACAGGTGATGAAGGTTCTTCAGTTCAAAACACCATTGCCGAAACTTTCACTTCACATGCATGATCACCCACCGCCCCAAAGGCCCTAAAACTCAACGACCTGGTGCTTCTTTCCCGGCATGCTTAACTTTTAGCTTCG